CACAATTCACCATAGCTAAGATTTGGAAACAGCCTAAGTGCCCATCAGCAGATGAGTGGATTAGAAAACTGTGGTACATATACACAATGGAATACTATGCTGCGGTAAAAAAAAAGGAACTCTTGCCTTTTGCAACAGCATGGATGGAACTGGAGAGCATTATGCTAAGTGAAATAAGCCAGTCAGAGAAAGATAAATACCACATGATCTCACTCATTTGTGGATTATAGAGAACAACATAGACTGATGAAAAGGGACAGACTCAAAGACTGAGAAACAGCAATCAGGCTATCAATCCCCAGAAGGAAAGTAGGGGAGGGCGGGGGTAAGGGGAAGAGATCAACCGAAGGACTTGTATACATGTATATAAGCCATACCAATGGGCATGGACAACAGGGGGAGGGGAGCATGAGTGTGTGGGGGGGGGAAGTTGGGGGTTAATGGGGGGGATGAGGACACATTTGTAATACCTTAACTAATAATAAAAAAAAAAAAGAAAAAAAAAAAAAAGAAAAACTATAAGGCCCGATGTATGAAATTCGTGCAAGAGTAGGCCTTCACAGCCACAGCGGCTGCCTCATTCCCTCCCTCACAGCTGAGGAAGATGCCTGGATCCCGTGGCTGCAGCCTGGCTTCGTCCTGGAAGGACGTCCAGATGTCCTTCTGGTCTAATTAGCATATTACACTTTTATTATTACAGATTATAAAAGAAATCTTTATAAGGTCTTGAGATGCTGAGTCTTTTTAAGCTTAAAAAACAACTAAACCAAAAACATTGAAGGAGAACCTTCAGAATGACAGCATGAAGAACACCTTGGACTCTCTTCCAGCAAAACCACTATAACTGTTGGTAAGGGCACACAGCAAATGAAAAAAAAAAAAGTTTATCCAAGAAAATCTACTAAACCTCAGTAATAACAGCAAGAGTCTATGGCTTAAATCATAACTTGTTTCCTCCCTGAATCTTTTCAACTCAGCATGATGGTAGCTCCACTCCAGGAAATGATGGGGCTCCTCCTTCCCTAGATCCAAGACATGGGCTGTGATGTCTTTGGAACATTGTTTTCTATCACCTCCCACTCTGAGTTACAAAGACTAAATTCCAGGGGACGGTAGCCAAGATTTGGGGACTTCCTTCTTCCACCCAAATCGGACTTGTGAGTCAAGAGTGACTCTGCCTCAGGTGCAACAGGCCCAGTATACTGGGACCCTGATCACCTTTGCCCCAATCCACCTGTATAGTAGAGGTTCCAGGGTGAAAGAGGCAATTCAAGAAGATTAGAGGTTGTCCAGTATAGCATCGTGTTCATAAAGCAGGTGTGTCACTCCAAGGAAAGCAGACAACCATTCCCATCCCCAGCTCTGGAGCAGTGGCTCAGAGATTTTGGCCAGGCAAAGAAGCAGGCCATGAGAATGGAAAACTGAAATTCTCACCAAAGTAACCAATTTTATTCAGAGCAGAGTTGACGTCCAAGCCTCTAAACACTCTAGAAAATAAGGGAGTTTTTGTTGGCAAGCAATTAAGAAGAGCCTGTTGATCCATGAGAACAACGTGCAGGACAGCTAATTTATCCCAGAAAACCAAGGAAAGTGAAAGTAAGTAGAGCCCTACTGGTTCAGAACAAACCTCAAAGACAGGCCTCAAACACTACCCTTACAGCTTTAGCCAGTTTGGCTCAGTGAATAGAGCGTTGGCCTGTGGACTGAAGGGTACCGGGTTCGATTCTGGTCAAGGGCATTTGCCTTGGGTGCAGGCGCGATCCCAGGCCCTGGTTAGGGTTAATGAGGGAGGCAACCAATCGCTGTGTCTCTCTCACATCGATGTTTCTCTCTGTGTGTCCCTCACCTTCCTTTCCACTCTCTCTAAAAATCAATGGAAAAATAGCCTCGGGTGAGGCTTAACAAAAGAAAATTAAAAAATAGAAACCACGCTTGCAAAAGTATCTGGATCTAATTAGATCAGATTATGAAACAATTTATGTCCCAGAACATTATCAAAAACAGTAGAGCATCAGTAGAGCTGATGTCCGTCAGGTGTGATACCAGTAGAGGAAGACAACTCAACAGAGAAAGGGACAACCAGAGAGAGCTCTGCTGAAACTACTGTCATCCAGGGCAACCAAATACATGCCCAAGGCTGAGCCCACTAAGGAGTAACACCTCAGGCTCAGGCTTCAGGGGAAATAGGCCACAATAAAACAGTCTCTCCAAACCACTAAACACATAAACAACAGCAGCAACAAACCCCGGGAGAGGGGAGGGGAAAGGATCACTATTCGGAGTTGCTATAATATGTTATCTAAAACGACAGATTTTCAGCAAAAAAACATAAGACATGGGAATGAGCAGAAAATTGTTATTCATACACAATAAATTAAGCAAGAAACAGAAACATCTTATAAGAGAGCCAGAGATTGAACTTAAGTAAACTTTAAAGCTGCTATTACAGCTATATTTAAAGGAGAACATGCTTAAAGAATTAAAGGAAGGTGTGATAATGTCATACCAAATACAGAATGTCAATAATAGAAGTTATTTTTTAAAATAACAATATGGAAACTTTAGAGTTAAAAAATACACTAAGTGAAATAAAATATTTACTAGAAGGAATTGGTCATCTATTTAAACTGGCAGAAGAGAGAATCATCAAACTTGAGATAAATCAATAGACATTATGCAATCTGAAGAACAAAAATTCAAAAAATGAATTAAAAAAAGTGAACAGAGCCACAAAAATGTGGGACACCATTAAGCTCACCAACATATGTTTAATGTGAGAACCAGAAGGAAAGGAGAGAAACATAAAGCATAGTTAAAATAATACTGAAAATTTCCCAAATTTTATGAAACACAACTAAACTGTCAAAAAGATCAACAAACTTAAAGTAGATAAACACAAAGAGATCCACAGTCAGACACATCTTAGTAAACATGTTTAAAGGAAAAGATGAAGAGAAATTCTTGAAAACAGCAAGAGATAAATGACTCATCACTTACAAAGACCCTCATAATGACATAGGCCTTCTCATAAAAAAATAAAAATTAAAAACAACAACAAAAAACCAAAGGAGGTCAGGAGGCATAGAATGGCATTTTCCAAATGCTGAAAAGAAAAAGAAAAAAAAAAGGACCTGGGTCAAAGATGCACATAAAGTTCAATGGAAGATAATTGAGAGTCCAGAAGTAAGCCCATCAATGTATGGTCATTTGACTTTGGCAAGGTGTCAAGACATTTCACGGAGAAAACAATAGTTGTTTCAAGGAACAGTATTAGGGCAACTGAAGATCCACAAGTAAAAGAATGATCTACAATATTCAAAAAATATGACATTAAAAAATTCAAATGCATCAAGAACCTAACTGACAAGTTAAAACTATAAAACTCTTAGAAGAAAATATACAAAAAGTCTCCATGACCTTGTAGGGAAACACAATCTTAACTTCCATAGCACCCATCTTTAGAAGGAAACCAGTCTAAGGGGAGAGAAAGAACCTCTGACCTTTGAGTATACCTGGTCTCAATTGAAACATTACATTTCTTGGAGATATAAGATGCTTTTGTTTGAGAACTTATATGTAGATAGAATGGTAGTTATCTGTTACTTTGGCCAACAATCAACTCCATACTTGTTAGTATATTAGGTAACTTGGAGGGTATAAACAGTGTGTGTAGTGTTTGAGCTTACTCTTATTCCTAAAACCAAAGGAGATATATTCCTCTTCTAACTTCCTGGAATAGCTCTTTGGATGACCCCTCACAGGACTTTGAATCTTGAGTGATTAATTAGAGACATAGTGACATCTAGAGGTCATACTGATCACAGCAGTGGTGAAGTGTGAACTACCCTTATTCTCTTGATGGATTCCAACTCTCTGGTCCACCAGACACTTGCGTTTTTTCATAGATTAAAATGTATATATGACTTATCAGCCACTTATCCAGTTCTTATTAAGATTACCAAGGTGTAATAACTCAAAGAACATTAACAATGATTAAATCTTATGAAATTTGCTATTTTAAAAATCTTTGATGATAAAGCAAGACTTCTTTACAAAATATAGAGATGAAATATTTGACTTGAAAATTTGGACTTGGGCCTCAAGAAAAGGGAGAAGTTAGTGATATTTTTTAAGTTCCAGGTTTTTTTTTTCTTATGGATTTGAAATTTTTATGATAGTTGCCATATTCAATATGCATATTTCTAGTTAGAAGTAACTAATACTCATGGTCTGTTTTTAGAAAGTTCATAATTTCTAAACATTTTTTTTTACTGAAGGAGAAAGCAATCTGGGGATGAGTAGGAAGAATATCACGAAGAGAAAAAGGAGACCAATAGAGCATAGGATACATATCTGTCTTCCTGTCATGCCCCAGGCACTGGAAAGCCCAGAGGCTAAGGCACTGTGTTAGACACCAGTGTTAGGCACTGGGAGACACCAGGAGGTGGCACTCAGGCAGGTACATAGGACTCTTCTCAGAAATAGTGTCAGAGGAGGAGCCAGAGCCATTTTTCTCTCCCCTCCTTCCATGCCCACCAGGTAACTAGCACATATTTGATGTCCAGGGTCTCCTGGCAGCATAAGAATGGACAGTAGTGAAAAGAATATTGGGACACAAGCAGGCAAGAAAGAGTCTACAATGGGGTGGTGAGCAGATTCTTTGTTTTATTGTTTTGTTTGAGCAAGCAGAATGCAAGGAGGTCAGCTAGGGAATGAGTTACAGTCTGTAGTTTGGGTATCCCAAGACAGACAATAAATTTGGTGTAAGAGGAATAGAGTTTGGGGAGAGGATTCTGGCTTCTGAATCCCAGGACAGAAGGCCTGGTATCAGCTCTAATGACCGGCAGAAGTGGAAGGAATTGTGTTCGTGGGGACTCTCAGAGTCTTGAAAGCAAGCAATGCTGGTTCAGGGCCCAGGTGGCCAGGAGAGACAGAACTGAGACCAGACATGTTCACCTTTCCCAGAAGATGTATAATAAGAGACAACAGTGGAGAACAAGTTGGGGAGCAGACTGTTTTATTGTTTCCCTTCAAGAAGGGGCCAGCCAAAGAAATAATCTGGGGTTCCCAGGGCAAGCTGCAAAGGTGGGATCAGAGGTCGGGAGATGAGATGTTCGAAGAGGACACAGATTTCTGGATTCCCAGTCAGAAGAATCTTCCAGAACAGAACTTGAAATCTTCACTAAAATGTCTCAGCAACACAGGCAGGCCCAAGGAAGATGGTCTTGCTCCTTTAGTGCCTCTGATGCTGCTCTTCTTGGCTCAGGGTCCACTTTAGCAGCAGCCTCCAGAGGACTGGCCACAGCCCCCTCCATAGCTGGAGCCCCCTCCACAGCAGCCTCCAGAGGACTGACCATAGCCCCCTCCATAGCTGGAGCCCCCTCCGCAGCAGCCTCCAGAGGACTGACCATAGCCCCCTCCATAGCTGGAGCCCCCTCCGCAGCAGCCTCCTGAGGACTGACCATAGCCCCCTCCATAGCTGGAGCCCCCTCCGCAGCAGCCTCCTGAGGACTGACTACTGCTCCCTCCGCAGCAGCTGGAGCCCCCTCCAGAGCCCCCTCCGCAGCAGCTGGAGCCCCCTGAGCTGCAGCAGTCAGACCTTCTGTGTCTGAAGCGGTGAGACCTGCGGGGCTTGTGGTGGCTCAGGCAGCAGCCACCACCCCCAGAGCTGCAGCAGCCACCACCCCCAGAGCTACAGCAGCCACCACCCCCAGAGCCACAGCAGCCCCCAGAGCTGACACTGCAGCAAGAAGAGACTGGAGGGCACTTGGGGGAACACTTAGGAGGGCATTTTGGGGTGCAGCACTTGGGAGGGCACTTGGGGACGCACTGCTGGCTCTGCTGGCAGGACATCTCGTTGGGCAGGAGGATAGGCGTTCAGGAGCTGAGAGAAAGTCAGAGCACAAGTTAGTCCCCAACATAGAGACCTTCCCTACTATCTTTTTACCATAATTTCTTTTTTACTCTACATTTCTGAAGCCTGTTCAAGATAAGTCATTAAAAAATGATCTCTGATGTAGTTTGTCATTTGAGCCTCAAGAGTTTTTACTGAAATAGTTATAGATGAACTTCTTTTAACAAAGCAAGACATAGAGAACGAATATTTAACAAGCTTGCCCAGAGCTAGTGCGAAAGCTAGTGAAGGCAAAATTGGCATTTACAGTCTGACTCAAGTCCACTCTGCACCACTCAGAAGTTTGGAAATGTCCAATCTAGGACTCAGTTTAGAGCTGCAGAGCTCTTTGTTAAGGAAGAAATAAGAATTTCCACCTGGCTGGTGTGGCTCAGTGGTTGAGCGCCAACCCATGAACCAGGAGGTCATGGTTGATTCCTAGTCAGGGCACATGCTCAGGTTATGGGTTTCACCCCCAGTAGGGGGCGTGCAGGAGGCAGCCAATCAATGATTCTCTTTCATCATTGATGTTTCTTCTATCTCTCCCTCTCCCTTCCTCTCTCTCTAAAAAACAATCAATAAAAACATATTTTAAAAATAATTTTCTTTTGCAGGAACTTCCCATATACTAGTAGCTTTTCACAACACATATTATTATGTCATATTATATATTAAAAATATGATTATCCCATATAATTATACATGTGTATATATGTATACATACATTTCAGTTAAACAGCTCATAGGATTACTCTTTGCAATTTTAAGCTATTATTTTAAATGGAGAAGTGATATGAGCTGGGATGTAAACCTAGGTTTGCTGGCCCAGTGAACCGAGGCCGAGCTATACACTGTCTACAATACACAGACTCTTCTATCTTTCATGGTAGCACCATGAACTTCAACTTGCTAGTCACTATTCAACTTTGGGGCTTCTGGCTCAGATGCCTAGACAGCACTCCTCACCAACCTAAGGACATTGGAACTCTGTGTTTATGAAGCCCCAAATATGCTTCCTCTGCTCCCACTCTTTGAGAATCACTGTGACCCCAGTACGGCTCTGGCAAGGGACAGAGTTCATTTCTCCCAGGTAAACTCTTCCTTCTAAGGAAGATTGTTTTAACTTGCTTAAAATTGAGAAATTAAAAAACATGCAAAACTAATTTAACTATAGCTCAAACACACAGAATCATTCGGGCGCTTCCAATCTCTCTGGCCTCACAGCTCACCTTTTTTCATCAGAATTTCTACACTTTTATTCCATTCCCTGCTCTCCTCATCCCCCTCCACTCCCCCAAGATCCTGCCCATCTGTCCACATGCTCTGGTGAGCGATCCTCTATGATAGGCCCTGCTCCATTCCCAGTGGACACTTACCAGGTGCACAAGCAGCACAGGGTCTGTCACTACCTCAGGAGGGAGTGGATGGAGATGCTCCATCCCCACGGCCCTTTTATGCTGGGCTTGAGCTCTGCCTCAGTGAGTGAGACAGGGCCTGGGCATGAGAGGACCGCCTCCTGCCACGCACATGGTGCTGTGACAGGTGATGACTGTCAGCTACTCCCCTGTCTCCCTCCATGGGGCTCAGGACAGCTGCTGCTGGATTCAGAATAGGACTGTTTAGAGATGGGGTGAAGGAGAATTCCTACCATCATCTGCCTCCTTATTATTCTTAGCAGTCCCTGCCTCTCAGTTCTCTTTCTGGGAGCTTGGTTCCCCAAACCTTCCACTTCCTCCTGCAATGTTAATTCATTAGCCCCAGCCCTCCGTGTTAAACAAAGAAATATAGATGCTTCCAAACTTTTTCACATGGTCTAGTCAGTTTACTGTTATGATTCAGTGTATCTGTGTTCTGAGTAATTAGATGTCTATTTACTTCTTTTTCAGAAAAACAAAAACAAAAACATGCTTATTTCAGTTTCCTTAATCTAAACTTGGATATGTCAATCAGTATTTTTTTCAAGTACAGTTGATATTTAATATCTATAATAATAAAGGCATAATATGCTAATTAGACCAGACATCCTTCCAGAGGACCTTCGATACGAAACCGGGGCTGTGAGGTAAGCCTGGGCCCGGATGCCTGCTGCTAGCCAGAGGGAAGCCCGGGTCCCGGGTGCCAGAGGGAAGCCAATGCCGGCAGCCGGGGGAAGGAAGGCCTACACTTGCATTAATTTCGTGCATCCGGCCTTTAGTTACATTACTGGTATATTGGTCTCAGGTGTGCAGCATAGTGGTTAGACTAATTTAGGAAGGGGTAAATCTAGTACCCACCCAGCACCACACATAGTTATTAAAATATGATTGACTATATTCCCTATGATGTACTTTACATCCCTGTGCCTATTTTGAAACTGCCAATTATACTTCTTTCTCCCTTCACTTTTCTTACCCAGTCCCCCAAACACCCTCCCTTCTGTCAACCATCAGTTTGTTCCCTGTATCTATGAGACTGTTTCTGTTTTGTTTGTTATTTGTATTGCTTTTTAGATTCCACACATAAGTGAAATCATACAGTTTTTGCCTTTGTGTTATTTAGCTCATAATACCCTCTAGGTCCATCCATGTTGCCACAAATAGTATGATTTCATTTTTATGTCTTTTGATTGGAGTACTTAATACATGTGATAGGTACATAGTCATTGCCATTTAATTATTCATATTTATGTTTCTTTTTTTCTTTTCTTTTCCTAAAGAAGTCCCTTTAATATTTCTTGTAATACTAGTCTGGTGGTGATGGATTTCATTCACTTTTTATTGTCTGGGATGTGTGAGTATGTTGCTAAGTGCGATGTATGCATTTGGTGTGTGTTGTGTGGCGCTCAGATTCCAAAGTACATTTACCTCTTAAAATCAACTCAAGCTTGGAAAAATTTCTTAGAAGTTAGGTTTGTGGCTCTGGAGCCAGACACACCTGGCATAAATTCTAACTCTGAAACTTATTAATTATATGATTTGGGGGACATTGTTTATTCTCTGCCTCAGTTTCCTCATTTGTGAGATAGTGATTTCAATAACCTCTACGTCATGAATTTGTTAGGTGTATTAACTACAATAACACACATGAAGCTCGCAGGACGTTGCATCTCACATTTTGTGCACACCAAAAGCTATCATCATCATAGGAATCACTATTATTTTTGTTAATCACCTTCAGGATGCATGCTGTGGCAACCAACAGATTATTTTTGTCACGCGTGAAGCCAGGATTAAATGAACCTTAGAGTTTACAAATAGTTTTCCGTATGACTTAGGCCATCAGCATAAGACCTAGGTTATGCAGACATACATGAGTAGGATACATAACCCTGCAGAGGTCTGGCCCTATGTGGCCTGAGCATGCCTCCTGTCTTTCTGCTCAGGCTGTCACAAAATGTTTAGTTATAAGGGTGTGGTCAGGATATCAATTCCTTGGCTCACATATATAAGTAAGTCTTACTCAACAACAGAGCATTGATTCTTAGGATAACTGGCCTGAGAGATCATATGGTCCATGACGCCATGAATCTGCTACCCAAATCATCAATCAACCTGATTTATATCTGGGTGATAAGTTGGTAGCACATTTGAAACCTCAAAAGATTCGTTTGCTTGCTTTGTCTGTGTGAAGTCAATAGCCGGAGTTCAAGTCAAAAAGAACATTTTTATTAGGCAAATAATTGGCTTTCTAGGTCTTCTGTTGACAGGGATGGATAGGAAGTGAACATGACTGAGATCTAGAGTAGAAATACTAGGCAAATCTAAAGTAAGGCAATCTGCCTCACACAGGAACATTAAAGAAATAACAGTGATCATTTCTTTTCCAATTTATTTTGACTCTGTCTCTCTGATTTGGGAAATGTGGAGAAGGACCCAACTCTTGCCTCAGGGAATGGGATGGAAATTAGACCAGCTTTGTCACCAAGCAAAGGTTTCCAGTTCGCTGTAAATGTGGGTCAAATGAGGTATGAATGCTTCCTGTGACCAGGCATGAATCACATTAGAGAGGCTAACTGATCTGGAGCCATTTTGTCCCTCGTCTAAGAGAAAGTTGTAGAACCAGCTCTGACCTTGGAGTGTCCTGCCATGGGCAGGGCAGCACCCATGTCATAGATAAAGGGAAAACACTGAAATGCCCATGAGAGGGTTCGTCAGAAACTTGATTCTGCTGTCTACTTTCATCCATTATCGGTAGAAAATTGCATCCACCTGTGAGACTGTGCCCCTTCCCCCTAATCCTCATGCTGGGGTCAGAGAATACATTTAGAAAACTGGGAGAGAGAGAAATGTCCGGCATGAAACCCACAGGACTGACAAATATGCCATTAAATAAGTGTTGTATTGTGACTGTTTATCAGACTGAATATTCTAATTTCCAAACTGAGATCAGGTTAAGGATTTAAAATGACAAAATTTCTTTCTATTACTTGAAAAGGACCATAAAACCACTAGGTCTCCCCAAGTGTTCATTTAGTAATAAGAAGACCATCCTATTGAGTAAAATTTTTTAAGAACAGTAGCATAGCCCTGACTGGTTTGGCTCAGTGGATAGAGCGTTGGCCTGTGGACCCAAGGGTTCCAGGTTTGATTCCAGTCATGGGCGCCAGAAAAAAATAAAAATTAAAAAATAAAATAAAAGAACAGTAGCACATAACAAAAATGTCACATTTTTATTATATCCTACAAGCCAAACTTGGTCACTGTGAGGGTTACAGACAGATCATTTAACACCCACCTCCCTGAGGAAACACTTGGATGGTTAGATAAGTCTTCACAAAAGATAAGATTAGAGGTGGGCCTTCAAGGAGGGATAGAATTGAAAACTGTCCAGAAGGTGGAGAAGAAATTGAAGTGAACTCCAGATAAAGGAAAGAGCAAGTAATGGGGCTAATAATAGCAGTCATAGCAGTAACAGCATTTAAAAAATAACTAGAGGCCCGGTGCATGAGATTTGTGCACTGGATGGGGGAGGGGGCGTCCCTTAGCCCATCCTACACCCTCTCAAAGTCCAGGAGCCCTCAGGGAATGTCCAACTGACGGCTTAGGCCCGCTCCCCAGCTGGACATCCTCAGTGCTGCCATCACCACTGCTGTGCTCCCCAGCCGTGAGCCTGGCTTCTGGCTGAGCAGCGCCCCCACTGTGGGAGCACACTGACCAACAGGGGGCAGCTCTTGCATTGTGCATCTGCACCCTGGGGGGCAGTGTGCATCATAGTGATTGGTTGTTCCACTGTTCGGTTAATTTGCATTAGCCTTTTATTATATAGGATAGTGAAAGATATCCTTTATTGAGACTTAAAGTATTTTAGATACTGAGCTACGATAGTAACTTCTACTCTTTCCCATGTACAAAGGAATCAGGATGGACGAGTGTGGAGAAGCACGGGACTTGGTTGGAAAGTCTGTAAGGAGGATTCCCCAAAAGGTTGGGGGCATCTAAGGGGACCTTGCCAAAGGCGGCAGCCCCTGCTTTGACTTTTCCAACCAAGTCACATGCTTCCCCACAGACAAGTTTCAGTTGTACCTAGCTAAGGGTGACTTGTTCAGTGCAGCGACATGGGGTTCCATGAGGCAGTACAAATGGTGCACCTCAGAAATTAACTTAGGAACACTTTCTGTCAGGTCTTAAATGTAGTATTTAAGAAGCACACACATTACTCGGTAGAGAGCATAAAAGTGATGTTGGGAGTGTGTCTGGGGGGAAAGTGTAGAGAAGTATTGGAGCTGGAAAAGGAAGAAATAGGCAAGATTTTCAGGAAACATAGTACAAGAGTAATTTTTACACCTCATGGTGCCGGGATGCTTGGAACTTAACTAGTTGAGGTGGCGGATAAGAAATATGTATTTTCAAATAGTTTCCTTTTTTCATTGATTTACTCTTGAACGTGTGTGTGTGTGTGTGTGTGTGTGAGAGAGGATGTTTTGACGGGAGTATGTCAGCAGTTAGAGGATGAGTACACAGAGGGAGAGGAACATGGAGGGCAGGGTTAGGGCCCTGAAGGTGGTCAGAAACCCAAGAATTCATATTTATTAAAAATATTTTGAGGCTTGTACAACAATGCGAGGCCCAGATGACACAGGATGAAACAGAGTTAGGAATTTTTGTCTCTCATACGCTTACCCTAACTGAGGACAGAATGACCCTCTGCCTCTGAGGTTCCAAGGCCTCCACCTGCAGAGGATGCATAGAAAAGAACAATGGCCTCCCCAGAAGAAAAACACCCTTGGGAACAAATTGTTAAACAGATTCCTTGTTTTATTGTTTTACATCAGCCAGAGAGCACCGTAAGAAGACAGGACATGATGTGGCTGAAGGGCTTTGGCATGGGCATGTGAGGGCAGCCACAGACATGGGGTCCATGGCCACGGATGGGGATTCAGGAGAGGACTGGAGTTTCTGGAGCTCAAGGAGAATATTGTTTTCAAAAGCTCCCAGTCTCCTTTGGGATCTCTCAGTGTCTGAGGTAGGTCTTCTTGGCTCAGGGTCCACTTCAGCAGCAGCCTCCAGAGGACTGACCATAGCTGGAGCCCCCTCCGCAGCAGCCTCCGGAGGACTGACCATAGCTGGAGCCCCCTCCGCAGCAGCCTCCGGAGGACTGACCATAGCTGGAGCGCCCTCCACAGCAGCCTCCAGAGGACTGACCACTGCCTCCTCCACAGCAGCTGGAGCCCCCTCCAGAGCCCGCTCCGCAGCAGCTGGAGCCCCCTGAGCTGCAGCAGTCAGAGCGTCTGTGTCTGAAGTGGTGAGACCTGCGGGGCCTGTGGTGGCTCAGGCAGCAGCCACCACCCCCAGAGCTACAGCAGCCACCACCCCCAGAGCCACAGCAGCCCCCACCCCCAGAGCCACAGCAGCCCCCAGAGCTGACACTGCAGCAGGAAGACACTGGAGGGCACTTGGGGGGACACTTAGGAGGGCATTTTGGGGTGCAGCACTTGGGAGGGCACTTGGGGACACACTGCTGGCTCTGCTGGCAGGACATCTCGGTGGGCAGGCAGGGGGCTTTCAGGAGCTGAGGGAGAGTCAGACAGCAAGTCAGTCCCACATCAGAGATACCCCTGCCCCTTCCTGTCCTTTCAACATCATTTCTACCAATTACATTTAAATACCCTGCTTCTGATCAATCTGGGAAAACAAATCCCTTCCTCTTTTATCATTTTCTACCCCAGCTCACCCTTTTAGAGTAGGAAGGGATCATCATCTGTTTTATCATTTGGAAAATTGAGTCCAAATGATGTTAAAAAGTGAAAAGCAATTTTTTCACTTATGCCATCCAAATACTGAAATTGTGTACAGAGACTAAGTTAGAACTGAAATATTTCCTTCATGAAGAAAAATGCCCCGTAAAAATCATTTCATATTGGAGAAACTTGTCAGATCAGAATAGAAACCGATGGTGACGATTTCCTGGCTGGCTCACTTTATTGAACAGGAAGCTGATAGGTCCCTGGACTCACAGCCTGGAGCTCTGTTCTTTTCAGAAATACCACCTCTTACCTAATAGCTTAGCCTGGAGATTATTCAACTTCTGTGTTTCTTTCAACTCTGGAGTTTTAACATGCATTCCAAGCCCTGTCCTATACCGGCATGTGTAATAATCCCCCCAAGTGCCTCTGATCTGCTCCGGGTTTTGAGAATCGCTGTCCCCAAATCATGCCTTGCAGAGGTTACAGTGGTATCTTAAAGGTAAACTTTTATTCTGAAACCTCTCAGGGACCTCAGAACAGCCAGAGGTCTCCATCCCTCCTCCTGGGATTCCCACACAGCTGCAGGCCAGTTGGCCCCTCAGAGCATCTGGAGTATTTGCTAGAACCTGTTGCTCTTGCAGTCTTCCTGTCTGCTCCTGGCTCCATCCTTCCGTGCCTGGTCTCTCTCTACTAATATAAAGCCCAACCCCAAGGCCCTGCCTTGCCCTCCTGCTCTGGACTGAGCGACCGTCCGTGGAAGGCCCTGGTCCATTCCCAATGGACACTTACCGAGTTCACAAGCAGCACAGGGTCTATCACCACCTCAGGAGGAAGTGAATGAAGGTTCCCTGGTCCAGAGGCCCTTTTATCTTGGCCTTGGGCTCTGCCCTAGCAAGTGAGACAGGGACTGAGCATGATAGGACTGCCTCCTGCCGCCCACACGGTCCTGTGACAGGTGATCCTTGGCAGCTCCTCCATCACCTCCCTCCATGAAACTCAGGACATCCTCACCATCAATGCTTCCTTCTCCTTACAGCTGCCTGGCTGTCACACCTCCTTCTTGGACTCTGGCCTCCCAAGCCCTCCTGTCCTATTACCTGGATGGCTTTGAACTAAGACTTAAAGAAGCTTCTAAATGCCCAGCTTGTGAAAATCACCTCACTTTTCTCATTCTCAGTTTCTTCAACTTTAAAAATCACTCTCAAAGGTGCCCTGAGGGTCAGCAGAATCATGGAAGGAAAATGTCTAGAGAAGGTCCTGTAACAAAGTAGACCTACAAAAGTGGACTATCCATCTATCCTAAATGGGGATAGGTCTTTTTAATTCACAGCGATTTTCAGGATAGGTGCATCTAATCTATAAACAGCCATTTTTCAACTGAGATCTTTTATGTATTTTCATATACCAGCATCGCTGTAGAGAAGCTAGAGAGAGAACCAGCATTGCCTTATACAGTAGAAGAATTGGTTTCCCAAGGCTCTTACACAGGGGAAGAGCGTGAGCCTCGGATGAGAAGCAGAAAGGAGAAGAGTCAGGGGGTCAAGCCTGGAGCACATGTGGGAGGATCCTGTGGAAATGATCCCCCACCGTGAGTGGAGGAGTCAGGAAGACCTTTCAGAATACGGAGCAGGTGGGAATCCGCAGGAATCTCTAGGGTTATTGCTTTGTTACTACATGGCCACGGGGATCCAGAAGACTTTTTTTATTTGAACATTTTTAGGAGATCAAGATAAAGACTAATCTTAATTTGATATGGAGCAGGTACTTCTGCCATGTTTGCAGGGCAACATGGGGAAAAAAGAAGAACCCAAGTACTTAGAAGGAGGCTAATCACACCTAAGGGTAATTATGGGAAGAAAGTCTCCCTTCAGAAGTGTCCAGAATAATTTTACAGAGTCTGGAATAAGATATGGATTGACTCAATAATATCTCTAAGTCATAATGGGCAAAGGACCAATACCTTGTGAATGTATATCTCTGTGCCATGTGTGTTTTTTTAGACTGATTACATTTGAAAGATTATGAGTCTGTATAAATGCATATAAACATAGACAGATATATAGATATACAAATACACACACATACACAGATATAGAATCCAGCTTTTTACTATTGGCTGCATCAGATCTCTCAAGGTGCATGGCCTTCCCTTAAATTCCACTGCCTTCCATCTGTGTATTTTCCCTTTGATTCTCACCTTCATTGGGATCCAAACGTGTTCTCTCACCACCATTGCCCCTTCCAGAAATCATTAGTCCTGACCTTTAAGGAATCCCCACCCAGGACTTCACAGTGCATTCAGTTTCAAGGACAGCATTTTTGGGCGACATTCAGAGCTCTGTGCAGTATGACCCTGAACAATTTCTGTTTTGCTTCCCAAGAGGAACTGACGTATTAGCTGCACTGCAAACATGGCTCTCCCTACCCTACTCCCATGCCTTATTGCCTGATATTTCCTTGCTGAGACAATTCAAGTCCCACTTTCTCCATTATGCTTTATGTGAAATATTTTACAAATGAGATATTAATAAACACTTTAACAACACACTTGTGCCTTATTCTTATTTTCCATCACCAACTACTGCAAGACATATGGGTAGTTAATAGATTTTTTAAAATCCTTTCACTACGTTAGCATTGACTTTACAGTTTACAAATAGTTATTCCTTATGAACTATGTCATCCTCCTCAGGGACCACATTGTGAGACAGGCACAGAGAGGTATAATGGACACATCACCCTGAAGAAGCAGATCTGTCACTCTCTCAGCAGGCATTGCATTAGCTCAGGTTGTACCAATGGGTTCAGGTATGTGGGTGTGGCCAGGACACACATGCCTAGGCTCACACAGGAGCCCAGCTTCTGATTCCTAGAATGATGGGGTGAAGAGGTCATCTGGTCCATGTCTCTTCATTCAGGCAAAGCAGCACCCGAACTATCAATCTGCTTGGACTTAAGTGATGAATCAGCAGTGTGGCTATAGCCATAGGATTTGGACTGAAATCTCATACATTTTCATTTAAGATGGGTGTAGGACTAACCTTTGGCCTTGGATATTAGTTATCAATGACTTTGAAACCATTTAAGAAACATTTTTGACTAGCAAAGGCTTTCTCATGTCAACTATTCATCCTAGGGGTCCATCTCTACATTGTCATTTTCTCATCTCAGAAGACTGGGGTGGGGGAGGCACAGCTGAGATCTTATAAGAAGTAATTCAGGCCTAGTTAATTTTCTTCTGTGTGTTCCACTCTCCTTTCTGAGCTACAAAGTAACACTCTTACAAATTTTAGGGTTTTTTTCCTCCCAGCAAATCTTTTAGTTATATAATATGAACAAAACCCCTAAAATATATAGAAAATATAAATGATTGTTGATTGATAATTAAGTAGGAGAAAGTATTTTAAGAATGGTACAAACCACATGGTATATAGAGAAATGAATTGATAAATTAAACTACATATGAATTAAATTTTATATAGTATAAAGTATCACATATAAAGCAAAAAGACAAATCAACTAGAGAAAAACAAACACATGCTTATTAAGGAAATGCCATATCTAATACATAAAGCTATCTTACAAATCCAAAAATAAATGATCATACAAAGACATAATGGATAAAGGATACAGATCTCTCTCTCTCTCTTTTCTTCTCTCACTCTCCCCCTCACATACACACACATTCACACATTGTGTTAGAGTTCTTCAGAGAAACAGAGCCAATAAAACATATGCCCATATAGGCAGAGGTTTATTTTAAGGATTTGGCTCACACAGTTGTAGGAGGGGGCAAGTTCAAATCTGCAGACCAAGCTGGCAGGCTGGAGACTCAGGGGAGAGTTGATGTTACAGCTTGATTCTCAAGGCTGGTGTTTAACTGAAAATCTGGGTAACATGGCCTACCCAAGTTAACACATAAAATTAACCATCATAGCTCACCTTTTGTCAATTTGATACCCATAGGCCTTTAAATCACATTTAATCTCCAAATAAAAACTGACAAGGTCACACTTCCAGTTACCATGATAAAATTATCCTGAGTATAATTTTATATTTCAAAGGAGGTTGTGAAATCCTTAAACCTAGTGGCCTGTTGCACGAATTTGTGCACATTGAAAGGAAATTAATTAGAAGAAACATTTTAATATTTCTATTCACCCTTTCTAATAGAAGTGTCAATCACATTTATGGTTGACAATTATAGATTGAAACACAAGCATATGATTGGTATCATATATGCATGAGTCAACTTAGCCTTTTTATAGATATGGAATAAACTTGCTTCATTAGACCTGCTTTTTGATTTAGCTAAACATTTTCCAGCCCAGTAAAGCACCCCAATCTCTCTTTCAGGTAATTGTCAACAGCACAGCAGTAAATATCAACACAAAGCAGATTATTATTGTAGCTCACACAGGGAGAACAATGGGTAAAATATTTAACTGCAGCAGTGTTTGACTATATTCTGAGCAGTGAGATAACCTAAAGTCATTTCCAAGATCCACTATTTTTTACTTCTTTTCAGTTGAGTCAAGTTTCTAAGCTTTCTAAATCTCCATTTTCCAGCTAGTGAAAAGAAAATAGGATTCCACTGAGTCTCCTATCTATCTACTCCAGGACTTCTGTGAGCATCAAATGAGATGAGGTATGGGAAAATGCTTCACAGACATTTGGTTAAAGTGTGAAATTTTTGCACCTGGCTATAAAGCAAGTCGTGTTCCTTGGCTGAAGAAACTGCAAGGAAGCTAGTTGCTAAGCAGAGGAAGTCGGGCGTTGCTATGTGATGTCATTACCTGGAGAGACAGTTAACCTATGAGCCTTTTATGTATATATAGATACCCTGTAACTTATATACTTTGATGTAAAGTTGAATAATACTTAAGTTCATTAGACAATGCAGCTTATGTTATACTAGAGGCCTGGTGCATGAAATTCGTGCACTTGGGGGGGGGGTCCCTCAGTTCAGCTTGCACCCTCTTACAATCAAACATCCTTAAACTGCCACAGAGGCAGGAAAGGTTCCCACCACCACTACTGCACTGGCCAGCAGTGAGCCTGGCTTCTGGATGAGCGGTGGCCTCCTGTGGGTGTGCACTGACTACAAGGGGGTAGCTCCTGCATTGAGCATCTTCCCCCTGGTGGTCAATGCATTTCATAGCGACCGGTCATTCTGCGGTTCAGTAGATTTGCATATTACCCTTTTATTATATAGGATGATAAGGGAATAGGAATGGAGGGGAAACAAAAATACTTGAGACACAAATACATACATATTCATAACAAAACAAGAAAGAGATTCTCATATTAATTACAGTCTTGGTTGTGGTTCTTTTTACCTGGCAGGTTGACCCAACATTCATTCCTGAAGGTTCTTGACAATTAGTATTGGATTTGAATTACAGTTTTCCATTGATTTTAATCACAGAACATGGTACTACTAAGAGACATCTTAAGGGATCTTCTGTATTCCAGACATGTTCTTCCTCACCCACATTGTGAAATAGAAGTCCAATTTCCCCTTAGTAATCAAGATCAATTACTCCATCATGCACAGTAACTTCCTTCTTTGCCTGTTGATTCAGGCAAAGTGGCTTGTGGAGAATGCCAAAGTGGCCTGGTGGCAGTCTTAACTTCCAGTTCAATGGAATCATGTCTCCTGGTGGAAGCATTCCTCCCTTTGGAACTAAGACCTTTAAACTAGCAGAGTGTAAGTTCACAGGGATACAAAGCAAACATTTTGCTAGTAGATCACTAGGAGTAATAGTGAGTGGTGTTATTCCCATTTTCAGCTTCTGATTCCTAGACCTGTACGACCTACCTATAGAAGAAACAAAACCATATATTGGATGCTGCTATAGGGTGTATACAGCCTTCTGAAGAGCCTTGCCCAAACCCGG